TTGTGGGCTTGGGCAGCATTGGGTTGGGCTGTTTTTGTGATGCACACTTGCTTTACATAAAACACTCGTATACATGAGTTGCTGTGGATTTGTTTCTCTAAAGTATCTAGACTAATACATGCAACCTGGGTGGTGAGGCCAGAGGAAGGTAAGAAGCCATGAAATGCAGGCATAAAGCACACAGCGAGTTTCCTTCAGAGAGTTAACTGAAGGCAGCTGAATGTATTTTTGTAAAGTGATCCAGGTGACAAAGGGACTTGGCCCAAGTGCATTCTGATGATCCTTATTAATGTAACTCATAACAACACACCCTGAGCTAGTTGCCAGAGTCTATTTCAGATCACGATGGCATTCAGAGTAGAACTGTGCTCCAGGCTCCCATCGTATTTCAAAGGCAGCCTCTCAGAAGCAGATCAGATCTTTCTTCCAAGGCACCTCTCAGTGGACTTGAACCCCCAAGCTTTCAGTTAGCAGCCAAGTGTGTGCTCTGTCTCTCCCACCTCAGGTCTCCTACAGTGCATTCAAGGAGGGTTTAAAGCAGCTTCACCAGAAGGGCTCTGGGCTAGTTAGATTTTATGTGGATTGATAGTACCTGTGTGAAGGTGGGGGAGGAGTCCAACCCATCAATCAGGGCACAGCTTGCTCACCCCTCCTTGCGGGGTGTAGCCTTTTGTATAAGAGTGAGAGCCACTGGGAACCGCTCTCTCTGCCCCTTTGCCTTCTTGCTTGCTGGGATTCTGTCCTTGACTCCAGGGGCAGCACCATGTGGGCCTCCTCACCCTGAGCTTTCTCCACCCTGCCATGCTTCCACTGACCTGGAATCCACATGCCTTTGCGCCCACCAGCCTGTGATCTTCCTGCTTCCACATGGCTCTGCACCCACCAGCCTACGGTCTCTCTGCTTCTCACTTCACTTTCTGATGTCATCGGCCTGCAGGGATGTGATTCTGAAGAGGGCCCCAGCTAGCATCGGACCTATGGGCTTGAGTTGGACTGGGTTGGAGCAACTTTTCAGCGTAAAGTTGTTTCTTGGCATAAAGTTCTCTCTTCTACATATGTGACTGTCGCTGGTTTTGTTTCTCCAGACAACCCAGCTTCACACAAGCTCTGTACTGGGGCTGATGTTTTATGCTGCCGGAAAGTATACAGGGCTTCTCTCTGCAGAATTTCACATGCAACGCCTTTCAGTATGACTTTCTCCCGAGCCATCTTGGTTGTGCCCCTTAAAAGAGCAATGACTTTAGATCCATTGACATTGTGGTTCTTACTGATGTCCCCGGGGGACTGGAGACGGAGATGCTTCTGGCCCCAATTTCAACAAGAACCGAGATCCCAGAGCATTCTGTGTAGGCACTGTTTCCTCCTTCCTGGGATACATTTCCATATCCCTCAGCAGCTTCTCATAGTGGCTCACAAAACCCCAAATCCCGAGAACCACTGACCTGGCAAGTTTTTAGAGACATCCTGCCAACTGTACCTGGTGTGTCTTAAGCAAAGATCAGAAAATCCATTTCAAAACCAAAGAAAACAAAACCCTTCTCCTTGGCCTACACGACAAATCTCACCCTTTGCCCAAAGGTCACTGAAAGGATCTTGTTCAGAGGAGGGTGTGGTACAACAAAGGGACACCAGCAGGTGAGATTGTGTCAGAGTCTTGACTCCAACCCACACCTGTGCTCTGAATCTGGGCAGTCTCTGCAATAGTAGCTGTGAAGGGGTTAAAAGAGACCATCCATAAATGTGTCTACACACACACACACCCAAGAAAGCTGGTATTGGTGATGTAACACTGGTTGATCAATGTGTTCTTCTATTTCACAATGCTCACAAATACACCAGCAGCTATTTTTCCAGGTTCGCTAAATCACAGTGAGTCCTTCTTCAAGAATGCAACATTGGCAAGGACCCAGGTGCCTGGCAGGTTAACTGTGACAAGCCCCTTAGAGTCTCAACTTCTGTTTCTTTATCTGCTTACTACAGGTGAGTAATGTTCGCCCAACCTACCTTTCAAAGATGCAGTGAGACGTGGTATAGTTGCTGAGAAGCACTAAGGACAAAAGGAGGAGGAGGAGAGCCTAAAAGGCTATGGAATCTAAAAATTTTAGTCTTATTAGAAAGAATCAGATTGTTCTGGAAGTTCAACTTGACCCATATAGCAGCGTTGATGCCTTCATGGAAGAAGAAATTGACAGGTAAGGCGGGGCTTGCTGAAACTGAGTTTCAAAGCCAGATTCAAGATATTGTCTCAGACTGCTAAAGGAGTTTGAAGATAATTGTGTGGGTTTGATACTCGAGGAGGTTGCTTTGTGGGGTTGGCTTGGACCAAGCTTAGGTTCAATGACCACTGTCAATGAGCCGATGGGCCTTTGTTATTTAGCCCACTGGACATCAGCCTGGCTTTTCTGAAGACCAAGGATCTCTGGCTTTGTATCTCATGGGTGACAACCTCAATTTACTTCAGCCTTTTTGTCATTAACTTTTATCAGCAACCTGTAAGGTGGCAGCTTTCATAACAGCAGTAAAAGGATGTATTATGATCGGTACTACCACGCTGATGCGATTCCAGTTATTCTTCACAAATAGATTTGCTAAAGATAGATTGAACCTGGTTGATACAATCAGGAAATAGCTTTGCTTTTCTGCCTATTGCCTTCAAGCTCACTTAGTTGAATGTGCCCTCCTTTTCCCTTGGCAAATCTCAGGAAGACCTTGTAGCTTCCCAGTCACTTTCAAGTATTAAAAAAGTCTAGTCTAATCTCGATCAAAATTGCATCTCATTTCCAATGTCAAACGTCTTCACCCTTCTCAAACGTGGCTTGTCCAGATGTTGAGTGGAGGCACAAAAGTGCTTGTTTGGGGCATTTATTGTCCTTATTCTATCTCCTACCTCACTCACTTATTGCTGGTGGGTGGACAAGGTTAGGGCAGGGAGAGGGGCAAGACATCAGGGGGCAGATACTGTCACCAGGGCTCTCATGGCTCCTTACAGCTGTGAAACCAGACAGGTAAGAGAGTTTCCCTGACAGCTAGAGTGGAAAAACACCCCAGGGAAGGATTCTGATTGGCTGGTCATCAACCAATCACCAAAGAGAAGGAGGTGGAATCTGGGCAGTTGTGAGGAGAAAAAGAATGGTGTTCCTTTGATGCCTGGACACTTTGGCAGTTAGATTTTATGACAACTTGAACTTGCGTAGGGGCGGAGTCCAACTTGTCAATCAGGTCACAGCCGGATGATACTTCCTGTAAGGTGTGGCCTTTTTATAAGAGAAACTCCCTTCTCTCTCTCTGCCCCTCTGCCTTCAAGCTTGCTGGGACTCTGTGCCTGCTTCCAGGGGCAGCCCCGTGTGGGCCCCCTGGCCCTGAGCGCTTAAAGTATCCTTCTAGCTCCCCACTTCTTTGAGCTTGGATCCAACTGGCTCTGTATCCACCCACCTGAGATCTTTCTGCATCCCGCTTCACCCTTTGGCATCATTGGTCTGTAGCTACATGAGTCCCAAGAGGGTTCCTGCTAGCATCAGACCCATGGACTTAAGTTGGGCTGGGTTGGAATGCCTTCTTGATATGCGATGACTTCTTGTTATAAAGCCCGTTCTTAAACACATCTGAGTGTCACTGGTTTTGTTTCTCCAGCTAACCCAACCGAACACAGCCACTCAAGCCAAGAGACTCCTGGAATAGAGAACGGATCATACTGACTCTGCAACTTGTTGCGACCAGGCTACATACAACACCAGGAGCCTTTCCCCCTTCACATTCACCAGGAGGGAGCACGGAAGGGTCACAACCCACACAAGCATGAGTAAAGGAAAGACGCTGGCTTTAATGATTCTCTCTCTGTGATCCACCACCACCAGATAAACTGGCCCACAGAAGCTGAAGAAAGAGAGGCATATGGCCCATTGGCCTCCCGTGTCCCTGGGCACATGTCTATCCTATGGCTCTGAAGGAGGGATCTGTTACTATAAAAAAGGAATGAGTCACATAGAGGAGGTAACCAGTGGATAGTGAGAGGGACAGTCTTCCACGGTGAGCTGTCCACATATTCTTGCCTGAACGCTGAAGGCTGGCCCAGGAGGCAGGCTTGCAGGAGACTAGGAACCCAAGTGGAAGGAAACCCAAGTCTACTATATACTCATACAAGCAACATTGCCTTGCATAGATAGCTTATTTCATCTTCCCTGTGATGGTTCCACGGTATTTTAAATGGAATGTTCTCACTTTTTACAAGAATAAGCTGAGGCTCATGGGGGTTGACTGACTTATACAAGTTAGCAAAGAGTGGAGTACAGACTTGAATTCAGGACTTTCAAGTGCTAATTCCCATGCTCTTTGCTCTAGACAAGATCCTTCTGTGCTGAAGGGATAGGGAGGGAGGCCGTGATACTCAGTGACAGATATCCTTCAAGAAGTCTGTAAAAAATGTAATGAAAAGACAATGGATTTCCACCCACCCCCCAGGCCATGTTTGAAGGCTGCTCATAAAGTAGATACTTCTTCCCAGCAGGGGAGCAGGGCCCTATCTATGCTCTGGGCCACCTGGTAAGGCTGACTCAAACGCCAGGCTGACGGGCTGCTGAATCACCACTGTTAGCCCTGATCCAGTAGTGGGTTCCATGCTGGGAAGCTAGCTACAGGGTCAGCCGTTCAAGACCATTAGCCACTGCATGAGGAAAAGCCAAGGCTTTCTATTCCTGTGAAGATTTACAGTCTCAGAACCTCACAGAGGCAGTTCTACCTATTCTATAGGGTCAGTATGCATTGGCATCAACTCAATGGCAGTGAGCTTGAACTATGTCCTAGATGAATTGAAATGCAAGGGCATCCTACAAAACTCCTGCACTCTTCAAAATTGTCCTGGTCATGAGAAACCAGGAACGACCAGGATTCTGTTATGAAGGAGACCTGGTGAGAAATGCAGCCTGGGATCCTGACACAGAGCAAAGGTGTTTCTGGGAATCTAGTAAGATGCCACTGGCCTCTGGTGTTCAGTTAAGAGTAAAGCCGCAGCCTCGGGTTCTTCCTTTGCTAAGCATATCACGGTGAGGTCAACAAGAGAGAAAAGTGTGTGTGTGTGTGTTTGTGATATGGGAACCCCCTGCACAATTTTCTGTCAGTCTAAACTGATACCCAAACAAACAACCAAAATAAAACTTTATTAAAACAGAACTGGCTTTGTTTTCTTTCTTCACCACTGAGATCCCTGTACACCGTGACAGACTTTTGTCATGGGCAGCAAACTTCAAAAAGAAAACCCTCAAATGAAACCTCAGCCATGTGAGACAATTGGGCACAGTGGATTATTGGCTCAAATTTCAAATTCCACACAGGCCAGCTCTCCTTCTGTGGGTGCCCTGATGGCGCGTCCTCAGTGCAGACTACAGCTTCCCCGGAGCAAACTCGCTTCAACGCAACTTTTGTGTCAACAATGGAGGAGATCATCCCAAGCAGTTTTCAAAAGCGTGCAGCCCTTGAAGAAGTTGTCTCAGTTTGCACTGGGCCCTTCTTGCCTCAGCTTCCCCCCGTGGCTTCTCTTAGTTTTCTCTTGACTTGGAAAAGGCGCAGGCCAGAGAGAGAGAGACGTGCTAATTCCTCATGGTTTCTCTTCTCTAATGCACCACTTTGATGACCTACTGACCATGAAGCATTTACCACCCCACTTGAAGCCTTCACAGATAATAGAACTGCACATCCTTTTACATCTATTATGGTTTTAAATTCTGCCAACCAGGCAAGATTTTCCCACATGTTCCTTAGCCAGCTACAAAAAGTGAGTTACAAAGAGAAATTAGCAAGGGAGGCTCACATTGGTGAAAGGAGTCAACCAACCAAGGACCCCATTACCATCAAGTTGACGCCATCTCATGACCTGTGGGACAGAGTAGTGCTGCTCCGTTGGGTTGCTGAGGATGTAAATCTTTACTGAAGTAGAAAGACTCATCTTTCTTCCAAGGAGTGTGACCGGTGGATCTGAACTGCTGCTCTATTTATGGGTAGTCTCACATGCAATCCACTGAGCAACCGAGGCTCCTACTAAGGGAAAGGTAAGGTTGAACAATAAGGATATTTCAATGGACTCTCCTCTTTTGGGGTAGCTCTGCCTGTTTCATGTAACATTTATAGACTTCCAGATCTCTGACTTGCAACTAGGGTCTGCAGTCTGGGGCTGAGGGGAACCTTGGGTCTTTCAGAGCTAAAACTGGGAAGGATCCAAGCACTCTTAGATGGTTCCAACCCTAGTTGGAAAAGACTTTGACACCTTAGGGATTGTCTTCTCAGACCATACAACAAACAAACAAACAAACAAACAACCCAAACCACCTGCCAAGTCAATCTGGACTCATTCACCCCCCCACCCCCACCCCCCTGCGTGCTTCAGCGTGGAACTGGGCCTCAGGCAATGATCAAGTAATGCAGTCAGTTTAGTTTGCAATTTAAACTCATAACTTGGGGTTCTAGCTCTCATACTTCTCTGCTTTGGACTGAATGTCTAAAATACTGCTTTCATAAATACAGCCTCTCCTAAGGCTGACTGGGTATAGTTGACCAGATCATTCAAATTAAGCTTATTGCATTTAAAATAGAAGGTGATCCCTAAAGAATCACTCATTGGCTTATTTATCCACTCTAACAGGAACCCCCTCTTTCCTCAGACAATGACCAGGGACTGTTGTGGGCCCTCCACCATGCAGGCCCTTGGGAGGGTGCGTATACTGAAAAGACACACATTGTCTTCTCTTAGAAAATAGTAACAGCATAGTACAGAGGTGGTAGACACACATCCTGAGACTATAATTTCTGGATTAATATCAACTTTGGCACCTGCCCACTGCAGGATCTCCAGTGAGTTAATTAACCCCTGTGAACTCCTCATATATAAAATGGACTTCATAGTTAATGGTTATACCTGGCTCGTAAGATTGCCATGAATCTTAAATGGATACATGTGAAGTCTATACTTGTCTAGAGCCTACTAAACATGTTTTAAGTGTTTATTTTATACTGTTATATAGCAAGAGTACATTCTTTAGGAGACAGACTTTTTTTCAGTGCTGAATCTCAGTTTTGTCATCCTCAGAACTTACATATTTAATAAAATAATTGAGCTATTTAGTACACTGCACAGAACACAGTAGAAATTCACTAGAGATAAGCGACAATAAATTTTATCGTTCAGTAATTGTTCCCTTAAGTAACTGCCAGGTTAGGGGACTTATACATCATATTTAGAAGGATCCCTGGTGATGCACTGTTTGAGCTCTCAGGGGCTAACCAAAAGGTTGGTAATTCAAAACCAATTGAAGTACTGCAGGAGAAAGATGTGAGAGCCAACATTCATCAAGAATACAGTCTTGGAAACTCAATGGGGAAGTTCTACTCTGTTCTACAGGGTCTCCAAGAGTGGGAATCCGGTCAACCGCAATGGATTTTTTACAACATCGGTAGTGAACTGTTGTTGTTGTTATTAGGTGCCATTGAGTTGTTCCAACTCCTAGCAACCCTCTGTACAACCATACACAACACTGCCCGGTGCTGTGCCATCCCCACAATTGTTCTTATGTGGGGGCCATCGGTGCAGCCACTGCACCAATCCATCTTGTCGGAGATCTTCCGCTCTTTCTTGGACCCCCCACTTTACCAGGATGCTGTACTTTTCCTAGAAGAAAAGCCGGGTTGTGCTCACACATCGTTCTCCATGCCACCAGGACGTTACCCACTTTTGTGTCTCTGCTCTGGGCGGAGAAAGCAGAAGAACAGCAAGGCTCGGAAGGCGTTTAGATTTATTCTAAGATGAAATTCTGTACCCAAACATCATTCCATCTTTTTTGGAAGCCTGATGGGAGAGAAGCACCCTAGGGTGGCCCCCGATGCATCTCCCTTTTCCTTCAAAGGTAGATGGACCCTGTGACTTGTAGGTAGGCATTTTCCACAGTTCTCCAAGACCCCCACCCTCACCCCCAGCTCCGACAATGGCAAAGGTACACTTGTTCGGTGCTGGTTGGTAAATGTTGCCTTGCTGAGATCCAATGGGACAGTCCCATGAGGTTTACTTGGCTGTCATAATTAGGGGAGCATATGAATATATCTTTCTTCTACAGAGCCACTGAATGAGTTCAAACCATCAAACTTGTGATTAGAAGCTAAGCACTTACTCGTCTGAGCTACCAAGTCTCCTGCCAGACAAGGCCCCAATTCCTGCTTAGCCAATGGTTTCTGATCTGAGACCATCTTCCTATGTCACTACAGAGACACAGGTCCAGAGAGTGTGGGCAAGAACCTTAAAGGGTAAGCAGGTCATTTCCATCATTCGACAGAGGGAGAAATCAGGACCAGAGGATTCACCCGGCCTCTCTGTGCAAAGTTCTGTGCTTTTCCACCATGCTGCCCTGGGCCTTCTTATTACCATTCTACCTGCTCATGGATGTTCGAGGAAGGCAAACGCATGCTAATGGTGGAATATTAAAATTTAATAATGTAATTTTAGCTTAAAACAAAACCGAATTAAAAAGGTACATCTGCTGCAAAAAAATGAACTCATGCATATTGGAGGCCCAATACCCACGGTTCTACAGAATTTGTCCCAGTGGGTTTATTCCTACAAGTAAGCTGAGCTAAGGCAGGCCTAGCAGGGAGGTGTGGGGCTTTGTGGAGCCTCGCTTCAGTGGGGTGTGTCTAATATCTCCCCCATCTCATCTGCTTTTTGTCTGACAGCCCTAAACTTTCTGGCTGTCTCCCAAGTGCCCTGTGTGTCCACTGGCTGGTCATCCACATGGATAGAGTGTGAACAGTATGCTGGCTCTCTGCTCCTTCCTTAACTCATTCACTGCCATGAGGCAATACTAATTTATGAGGCCCAAAAGGACAGGGTAGAAACTGCCCCTGTGTGTTTTTTCAAGCAGTAACTTTAAGGGAATAGAAAGGCAAGTCTTCTCCAGCGAGGGGTTTCAAGCGACCTGCAGATCACAGCCTAATGAGAAGCCAGTATGTCACCAGGGGTCCTTCCTTAGAGCCCTCCACTCCACTCACCCCTCCACGCCACCCCCACCCCAGCCCCAGAATCCTCTGCCTGCGGGAACTTGGGCAACTCACTGCACCTTGCTGAGCCTCTGCTTCTGTGTGGGATGACTCCTGGCTGCCCGGCCAGAGCTGTCACAGCAAATGCAGTAGTGTTTGTGCGAAGCCCCAGTACAAGAATGGAGGCTTCAGAGGTCCTCACTAACTCACTTCCATCAAGTCCATGCTGACTCATAGCAACCCTACAGGACAGGGTCGAATTGCCCCGTGAGTTTCCGAGATGGCAGCTGTTTACAGGAGTAGAAAGCCCTGATTTTCTCCCACTACCCGGGCTCGTAGTCCTGCTCTTCTCTACCCAGGATACTTGCCCACAGATAACTTATTCCAATCATTACCACCCATGTATTTTTGGAAACTTTTGTTCATATATGAAAACAAACAACATCGATCTGTAAAATAAACAGAGAGGAACATGGAGGGCAGGATGGTTCTACTCAGCCCCTTCTCACTGCTCACAATATTTACTTACTTACTTATATCTTTTAAGTAATTTCATTAGGGGCTCATACAACTCTGATCACAATCCATACATACATCAACTGTGTAAAGCACATTTGTACATTCATTGCCCTCTGCTCACAATATTTAGGTATCCTCGGAGAACCATCAGGCACGACTCCTTACATTATTTCTTACAGGTCAGGGTTACTTGATACTACTAATAATAATGTGTTGTTTTTCTTATCAAGGGAATCCATGTGCTATTATGTTATAACATATCACACACAAGTCATATATATATGTGAAAGTGAAAATCATGAAGCTGTAATATTATTTCTTTTATTTTTTGACAAAAAGTTTGTTTTGAGTCAAAAGTGGAAGGATATAGTAAGTAGCATTTGATCAGATTTTTGCCTGCCCATATCAACAAAACACTCTAAACATCTTTCTACCTTGATATTACTCTTCTCTGTGTTGTTCTTCGTGCCAATATAGTTTTTTTTAAAGTAACCTTTGATTATTGTTGACATTTCACATATAATAGAGAATTATTATATTTTTATTCAAAACCCATGCTTGCACAAGCATCTTAAACTATGGTTCATCTCTCTGCTCCTTTCCCCTGATGGGATTATTAGCAGACACCAACGAAT